CCAGAGGAGGGACAGTGGTTTGGACATGTCCAGAGGAGGGACAGTGGGTATATTGGTAGAAGGATGTTAGAAATGCAGCTGCAGGAAAAAGACAAAGAGGAGACATGTGGATGCAGTTAGAGAGGACATGGAGGTAGTTGGAGTGAGGACAGAGGACACAGAGGACAGCGTGAGGTGGAGGACTTGCTGTGGAGACACCTGAAGAGGGAGAAGTTGAAAGAAGAAGTTTATTTAACAGGTTGTGTAATGTAAAATTTATTCTTACAGAGTGAATTTCACTGAGTTCTTGTGCTGACCTGCGACATGAAAACATCCAGTGCAGGAACTATTTTAAGTTTTTAGCAGATTAGATTTTTTTTATCAAATTTACAAATAACGTGAAGGTAATTCACACAAAGCCTTAGATTATTTGATACTAGTCTGTACTGACGTGCTTCATACTGCAACATGTCAGAAACGCGTGGGACATCTAAACTTCTTGCTACTGTCATTGTAGAGAATAACTTATAAAATGTTGGTGCATATTTAATTACCCAGTGTTGTAATATTCAGTTATTTTCCAGAGAAAATAATAGTAATCCTACATTTCTGCATAAATAGGTACTTTTTACAGCCAAAAGAAAAAAAATCGAATTATTAAAATATGAACATTACACTCGTGCAACAAAACAACCTGCTAATGTTAATCTTTGCAAGATCAAAGGTTTACACTTAGTTTATGTGCACCTCTTGATTAACATCGTTTAAAAAGGCCAAACGAGCTCTTCCTCAGTTAACGGACTGATCTGCTGAACGAGACGCTAACGAGGCGTTTCATCCCTCACCAGAGGAAAGACCAAACTGCTGCCATCTTAAAACAAGTCCACTCTCAACACTGCGACAGTGGGGAGTGGTGGCGCAGAGGGTAAGGTTACAGTAGACCTAGTCCACTACTGGAGTTTTAATTAGATATTTTAAGCCACTAATAAACATGATGGATGATGATCATATTGCTTTATGCTAGCTAGGCCATTGGTAAGGAGGAGTGATTATTATTATCCTTTCATATTGGCTAGCGATTTTCTTTCCTAAACGTTAACTTAGGCTACACTGTGTTTCTTAGACTGTGACTAGGATGCATGAGAGAAACGGAGTGTGCTCTATTCACACAAGGAGAGCTGTTGGTCAGGCAGATCTTGGTGTGTCATTAACTCTTATTGAATAGAGTGTTATGTATGTAAAACTAGATGTTTAACAACCCGTTAAAATACAACAGAATGCAGGAAATGGCATCAACTTTATTCAAATTTTTCTGGGGGAGGACCCTCAGACCCCACTACCAGTGTCCCCCCCACCCCCACCCCACACACACATTATAAAAATGCTTCCAACACTAATGGCCACCGTGCTGCTAACCATCTTCCAGAGCAGGACCCTCACATTTAACATACTACACATCTCATGAACAACAAGAGTATTGTATTTTTCATTTGAAGTGGTTCAAATCACTTATACTAAAAAATAATAAACGACTGGAAATTGCTGCTGTAATTTGATTCTTTTAATAAGCCATGTGACTTGCTATGATCCCAGATTTTGAACAGGTGTGATACTGGTGTGTAACCATAGCGTGCACATCTGATATTGCTCACAGTGCGCTCAGGGAGCTTGTGTGTTTGCCCAGACACATTACCTATGTAGATTGTAAAGAGGGTGGGTCCTAAGACTGAGCCTTGTGGTACACCATTGTTGACTGTTAAATAACTGGAGGAAGTACCATTATGTTGAACACATTGCCTCCGGTCTGAGAGATAGTTAGAGAACCAACCAATGGTGTGTTCTGAGAAACCAATTTCTGAGAGTTTATGACACAAGATGTTATGATCCACAGTGTCAGAATCTTTAGACAGGTCTAAGAAAAGTGCAGCACAATAATCTTTAGCATCCAGTGCTTCAACAACGTCATTAAGAACCTTCAGTGAAGCAGTGGTTGTGCTGTGTTGTTTCCTGAAACCAGATTGATGTGGAGGTAAGATGTTAAATGAGTCCAGGTAATCTTTGATTTGAGAGTTTATCAGTTTTTCTAGAACCTTGGCTAAAATGCAGAGTTTAGAGATTGGTCCATAGTTGTTCAGTGAGGGGGGGTCTCCTCCCTTCAGCAAAGGAAGAACAAAGGCTGTTTTCAAGTGTCTGGGATGGAGTTTTGTCTCATGGAGAGATTGAAGATGTGGGTCACAGGGACTGTGATGATATGAGCAGCCAGCCTTGAGAAATAAGGTGGAAGTTCATCTGGACCTGCAGATTTTTTAGGGTCAAGATCTTTTAACAGTTTATTGACCTCACTGACTGAGAATGGAGAAAAAGAGAAGGTGTGATTAACTGAGGATTGACTTGTAGGAGGGATTTGATTTGTAGAAGTTTGGTTATTAAGTGAAGTGGCTGATCTTCCATTAGTAACTGTGTCAAATAAAGAACTAGAAGCAACAAAATGTTTG